TTTCCAAGGAAGAACCGAGAACGTCAACTGATGACTGCTTCTTCTTAGCGTTCAGCGGCTGTACATTCCGGAGGAAAGTTCTGATTGTTCGTCCACTTCTGGTTCTTTCTTTTGTACCAGAACTGAATTTTGCGTGCATATCCGTTTTATATATCTGATTTACTTATATGCATACTGTTGGTTCCTTCCTTGCAGGCAGATGCACTCAGACTTCCAAGGAAACACCCCTAATAAGTCGACTTTTAAAATATGTTAGTTACGGGGTTCTATTGGTTAATTTTTCACCCCCCCCCCCATCCCCAACATTGGCGCCCGGGAACCCATACGATAGGTAGGTAGCTGTACCCAACCAGGACATCACACAAGCGATAAACACCAAGTGACACAAAGTGCCACCATGCGGATGAGGATCACCCGTGTAGAGGTCCCAGAAACCCCTTTCAGTCGTTAGGCAATATCTATGGCTAGGCCATGTCTACTCCCCGGCTATATTCAGGCACCCGGCAAAAGCCCATGTGGGGCTTCAAATAACAAATTGCATCACACATAACCTACACGGGGAGTGAAATTACAAGAAAAATCCCAAATAATAAGACATACGAGCATGTAAAAAAGAAAGACATAATATTGTTGATTTTGTGACAGCTGGAGAGACTGACCGTGAAAGAACAAGATAAATTTAATATAGATAAATTGTTAGACTTACTGGCTACATGGTATAAACGAACCAAAACGACTTGATCCATGAATCTTGTGATTAAATCCTTAACGCCCTGATCTCCTAATTCTTATCGATGTGATGCCACAGAAGTTCTCTTTAAAAACAAGTATTTGTTATCTATATTATATGATTTTAAATATATTTATGCCATTCAGCTTCTTCTTCTTCTTTTTCTTTTTCTTTTCTTCTTCTTCTTCTTATTTTTATTATTCTCTTAAGGGCCCTCTACAACATGTGTAAGGGTGTCATAACCCCTCCGCCTTTTTCCTGACACACCCAGTGTGGTCTTTGTGTTGCCCTACAGAGCCTGGTGTAAACAAAATGATCAAGTGGTTAATCTAGGATTAAGCGATCTGTGTATATAACTTGAAAGCGTACATGTTTGTATTTCATTACAAAGCTGGTGTAACCTTTAAAGTAGGCGTCCGACGAAATATAGAGAAATATGTCAGACAATACACTATACAGTGATTGGTTGTTGACCTGTTTATGTACATTCACAAAAGGAAAATGTTATTTTCAATGACAATGATAAGACAGTGATGGTTGGGATGATAACGATAAATCTGATTAATTCAGAAAACTAATAACTTTTAACATAAGGCAATGCAATGCTCCACGCAGCACTGGGCTCAAAATGAGTTGAGTTTTAAGAACCGACGTCACAGCACTCAAATCATTATCATAAGCGCTTCGTCTCAATCTTCAGCAGTCAGCGAAGAGTTTCAACTCTAATGATACCAGCAGCAGTCTGACTGTATGTCTTGCCCTTCCTCTGAGTGTGGAATGTCGGCCAAATTCCATGGTCACTCCCCGTTGTATCATTCTCTTCATACCGTGATATCTAATGGTGCCTCTGCGCTGTTCACTCTCTCAAAAGGCACTGACAACATTCAACTTGTCATGCAGTGGTGCAAAGCCAGCCAGTGAATCTGCCTGTTTATTTCCCAAAATACTAGCATACCCGGGAGAAAATTTCCAAAGGATGCTAACTACCATAGACCTCAAAAGCCACGCGTGCCACTCTGCACAGAGCATACCTGTCTCCACATTTATCAACACACTTTGCGAGTCAGTTACAATCACTTGTGTTTGCAGCTGATTCTCAAGCGAACGAAAGGCCGCAATAACCGCCTCCACCTCCATTCTCAAACTAGTTGCTGTGATATCATATGCCAGGCTTTGCTACGCTAAGGGTTGTCCTTGCAGCACTGTGGGCTACAGGTGAATGAACGCGTTTCACAGTTTCGTGATCTCCCATGACGCTAAGAGTCGTCCATGCGGCACTAGGGGCTACAGATGAATGAGCGCGTTTAACAGTTTCAGGATCTCTTATGACGCTAAAGGTCGTCCATGTAGCACTGTGGGCTACATGTGAATGAACGCGTTTAACAGTTTCATGATCCCCCATGACGCTAAGGCTCGTCCATGCGGCACTTGGGGCTACAGGCGAATGAACACGTTTAAAAGTTTCATGATCTCACAGTACTAAGGCTCCATATTCACAGTGGATGCTCTATTAAAAAATCCAGCTTAATTCGTTTGTGGACAGTCATACGAGAGTTGCACCATAAGAAACTGGCCTCCCAAAGTATTATTCCAAAAGAAAAGGGGTACACTGACGCCAACCTTCATTGTGGAGATGGCACACACACTTAATTAAAAAAGAAACACGCTCTCATAATCCAAAATGTTAACAACAAAAAACGTGTCGGTCTTCCCGTGTGTTCGTTTGTTAATTTGTTTTAGTATCAATAAGCCATCAGTTGTTAACCCTTAGGCTCGGTATTATGGATATCGCAACCTTTCGGCCTTGATTTCATTGTAAATACCGTAAATCTGGGAGAAATGTGGCTTTCCTTGCCTACCCCCGGGATTGAACCCGGACCACAAGGAGTTCGTCACCCGGTCTCCGCGCAATCCGGTTTAGCCAGCTACGCTAGAGAGCCGGGCTTCCGTGTGTTCAGGTGACCCATTCCTTTATTTTGTTTTCAACAGCTGCGTTCTAGCTGAGTGAGTGACGTTCAACGTCACCAAGACCGCAGATTAACTCTAGCGGACCAAAGGTGTAAACTCCATAGGGGACACAAGGTGCCACCATTCCCATGAGAATCCCCCAGGTGGCAGTCACAGAAACCCCGCTAGGTTATTTTAGGGCTCCCTGGAACAGCTGGAGTGGGGTTTCAATATAATAAAAAATTGCGACTCCAAGTTTATATGTGTGCTGCTATGAACTAGGCACACGTTTTTTGATATACACGGTCCCTTGTGGGTTCCGGGGCCCCATCGAGGAGGGTAGATAAAAAATAGACCCCCCCCCCCCCGCCGCCTCGCCAACAAACAAGTCATAAAAACTGACTAATTAGGGATGTGTCCTTCCAAGCCGGAGTGCATCTGACTGAGAGACAAGGAATCAACAGTCTGCATATAAAAAAGCAAGATCTTTAAAACGAATGTGGATGCAAAACTCCAGTTCTGGAAAAAAAGGGTTAAGTCCAGAAGTAGACGAACAACCAGAACTTCTCGCCGGAGTTTGCAGCTGGCGAATGCGAAGAAGAATATTTATATATACAGGTGCTCAATCAAACCAGCATGTCCACAGAACGTCGCTCTCTTCACGACACACCTAAAAGTCTCACTTTCTCTAGCCAATTGCAGTGTGCTTTTATAGCTAGTGCATCTCCAGTGTCCTGCATCCACGTTTACGGTGGTTGACCCTCTCCCTCGCTTTGTGAAAACTGCATCCTCCATCACCGGTCTCTCCACACCACCACGGCGCTTGACGGTGTCCAAAATATTGGTCCAGCGGAACTGGGAAACAGAATAGCAGAGAACATTCCAAACGTGTTTTAGACACACAAAAACTGAGGCTCAAGCTAGTCAACATCAGTTTGAAAAAAGGTACCAGTTAAATTCCTCTGCTAGGCTCTAGGCTCGTGATCGACAGAGATGGTACCTTCCTGCAAATTTATTATAAACGGATGATATCAAAATTCCGCAATCTTTCTCAATTTAAAACTAATTCATCGCACAAGGCTATTTGACTCAACATCAAGCCCTTTACCCACAGACACTCTTTCCTGTCCTCGTTTTTCTAGATCCTTTTGTGCCCCTTCTACGTTTATAAGTCGCCTCTGGACTCACAGACAGTCAAGTATGGTTTCAGGATGGACGAAAGAAAGAGTGGTGCACATTAATTGTGATGGACGAAAAAATACAAACTGAACACATGTCGTTTTTGAAATTTGCCGGATATGCGAGAATTAGATTTTGGCTATTGCTCATTACGTAAAGAAATGTGGTTATTCTAAGACCTTAGTGAGATGTAAACTAAAACAACGGAATATGTTATTTGTAGACTTCAATTGAACGGATTTAATCAAATAGTATGCACCTGACGTTAGTTGTGTATCCTTTACAGGACGTTGCAGAACCAACCCCAGCATTTTTTGGTTCTTGTGATTTTCCTAGGCAAGTTTACGCTCAGTAGTTTGCTATTGCTTCTGGTAGGTCGGCTTCTCGATACCACTTTCGAAACGAACGCAAGGCGCAATGCCCGCAGCTGGGATCGAACCCGCCACCCTGGCATTACGTAACGTCTAAGCCACAGACGTCGTCATGCACCTAACGAGATACAGTTAAATAGACGACGTTAAATTGTGCAATGTGTTTGTGCCGATATTTAAATTAATCGACCACGTGAAAACATTGATCTAAGTTAAAACATCTGTTTCAACCATTCCATCGACCACAACAATATACCTAGTTAATGTCCTTGTCATGACAAGTCACATGATTGTCTTTCCCCTTCATAGTTGTAGACACATATTCATAAATAAATAGATATTACTAATCAAACAAAGCGTAGTTTGTCACATCTAACCAACATCGCTTCACCTATCCAATCTCAATCTTCCTAGGAAAACAAAATAACAATTGTACAAATATACGCAAGTTTCATAGGCGTAAATAATTCTGGAGCCCAAATGTATAGCATGCAATAAAAAACACGACAGTAATGTCATCGGAATTTTGGATGCATAAATGAGAGAGCTTTATAAATATGGTTTAAATGCATAGCCAATAGTTTGTTTTTTGCAGACAATCAGAATATGAAAAAAGATGTCTGCTTATGGAGTCTTTAACACAGTTAGGCAAACAGCTGACCCTGGCAATGCATGGCAAATCCGGGCCTTAATTACTGCAAAGCCACGCCCTAAATATGCACCAACCAATCAACACTGAACGTCGTTTTATCAATTTAGTTACGGATTCTTAGTCACAACTGTGTATACAAATGAGTGTGATATAGATCTAAACTATACGGAGGCAAAGGCAACGGGCAAGAGTCTGGGATAGCGATTGGGGCGATATTCTGATGAGTATTTTTATTGCTTCTCCCAAAAGCTCCAATGCTTTGTTGTAAAGTCTGTTTAAGTTCATGCCTGACACCCGCTATTATATCTGCTTTCAGACAGTCAAGATCCGCTGAAGTTAGTGTCAAAGACTTCCCAAAGTCGTAAATGTCATTGGACGAATTTACAGAGTTCCGCCCATCTTGCTGATGAGGTGTCAGTAAATTCTGCCCCTCGTAAAGTGTACGCCCACAAAATGTGGTCTGGTACCCGTGATTTGGCGAGAGACCATTTATGGGCGAGGGACAGGGAGGGACTGGCGACAACCGGTTGAATGTGTGATGCAGATCGCGTCGTAGGCTATCCATATGACCTGTTGTTCTGACCACCTCCCGTTTCCTATCCTCCCGAAGTTCAAACCTGTGAAAAAAAAAAAAAAAGTAGTGATTGACAGATTTTGATTAACAGTTACAAGATTTCTAATTAATTAAGTAAGTAAACAGCGTATAACTATTCACTTAACATTAATTTCAACGACGCGAGATTTTCTTTTCTTAGCGTTCATTGATTGTAAACTTATATAGCATATCCATTTTACAGATAAGTTTATGCAGACTGTTGGTTCCTTCTCTCTCACGCAGATGCAACCCATTCAGTGATCGGCACGAGATGAGTGATGTTGTAAAAAAACGGTTGCATTCTAAGGTTGGCACCAACGCAAACCGGAAACACTAAGTAAGACGAGGGAATGCACATGCAACAAGTAAACAACAGGGTGGAGGACGAGCGGTCAGATTCGGATGGAAGCATCAAGCCCAGAAATGACACAAACACTAGAATTCAGTCACGAAAGTGACGCAAATAACCCAGACCACAAATATAGGCGGAGACTGCTAGCAGCCTCGGCTAGCTAGCAGCAGTCTGAACGTGGTCGAGCCTTTTCATTTTTTTTTTCTCAAAAGGAATTGGAATTGGAAGGTTGGCACCTTTCCTGTCTGGCCAGACAATAATGTTACATTGTGCTATGAGGAGGCGTGCGCTCACAGCTCATTACGATTGCGAATGTGACTAGTAAGATCTTTCATGTCGCCTTTATGTCTCATAATGTAATATGGCACACATTCCATGTTATAACTGTTAAGGTTTATGGGACAAGACACACATAGAGGCAACAATATAAAATTCTTATCGACAGACGGACAATCTGTAAACACTCAAGAATGAATATTTTCACAAAGAGACGGATACTTCGACAGACATATCGAAAATTAAAGAGGTAAAATGATTTTCCCACCTAGTAATAACCATAAACACACACTGTCAGACAGATAGGAAAAAAAGGCAGACACAAGACAAACAGATGAACTGAAAAGCCAACAAAACAAACAAATGGAAAGACTCGTCAATCATTGGCACCTTTCCGTCTTTCCAGACGATAGTGTTATAATGCGCTATGGGGAGGCATGAGACTCACAGCCCATGGCGATGGCGAATGTGACTAGCAAGACCCGCCCGTGTCAATAAAAGTCTTCCACAATGATAGCATCCAAAATCAAATGGATTTCAGGACCACAAATATTGAAAAGTGAACATTAGCTGTGGTCAACGAAAGAGAATTTGAATTTGAATTAATCCGTTTCTTTTCAGACGCTCAGCTCTCATCCTTTCTGCAATCATTTCTTCCTTCAGTCGCATTCCCTTCCTGATATGCCCTTTCCACACAACACGGTCCATGGCATTTTGTTCCCATGAGTCCGCCCCAATACCTGTATCATTCATGTCCCGCTTGCACACATCTTTTTAACGTAGTAGAGGTCGCCTCGACAATTTCTTCCTGTCTTTAATTCACCATAAAGGATGTCTTTAGGGACTCTGCCTGTTGTAGTACCTGCTCTTTCCAGTAACTCAGTGTTTGTGATTTTGTCCCGCTACTTAATGCCAAGTATTCTTCTTAGGCATCGCATGTGAAAGCTATTAAGCCATCTGTCCTGGTGCAAATAGTTTGATCAAGTTTCACTGTCATAAAGCAGAGTGCTGAGAATACAAGCCTGATATATAAGGGTTTTTGTTTTAATTGTGAGATTTCTGTTCTCCCTAACTCTCTGTGTCAATTTGCTCATTGTTATTGCTGTCTTATCTATCCTGATGCTGATTTCTTGGTCCAGCAATAGTTTACTATTCATTGTGGAACCCAGATAGGTAAAATTGTTTACTGTCTCAAGCTCTTTACCGTCAATGTAGACTGTAGGTCTGTCATTGACACCTTGCACCGTGTCTTCTTTTTTGCTGACTGTTAGTCCAAATTCACAGCACGCATGAGCAAAGGCAGATAGTAAACATTGCAGCTCCTCCTCTGAGTGGGTGGTTATTGCGGCATCATCTGCAAACAGCAGCTCTCTGATAAGTACCTTTCTTATCCTGGTTTTGGCCTTCAGCCTGCGAGCATTGTAAAGGCTGCCGTCAGATCGGGAATGAATGTTCGTGACATTTTTCCTACAACTGTCGTAATTAAATAACATATCAGTGGTAGATCAGTTCCCACAAAAGCCGCACTGGGACACTGGGTAAACGCGATGCCCCATGATCTGAAGTATTCGCAGAACAATTCTCGCAAGCACTTTTCCAACAGTACACAGCAGTGATATTCCTCTGTAGTTACTGCAGTCACTCCGATCACCCTTGTTCTCGTACATAGTTATGATGTTTGCATCTTTGAAATCTTGCGGAACCTCTCCCTCTTGTCACAGAGTGTT